GTATACATTTTATAAAATCGTGTTTGTATACATTTTATAAAAACGTGTTTGAATAATTTTTTATATAATGTGTGTTTGTATATATTTTATAAAATCGTGTTTGTATACATTTTATAAAATGTATACAAACACGTATTATATAAAAACTATTCAAACATGTTTTTATAAAAAAATTGTAAACAAACACGATTTTATAAAAAAAATATAGATAAAATAGGTGTGTGTATACATTTTTTTTTGTGAAATACGTTTTTGTATACATTTTTTTTATAAAAACGGATTTGTATATATTTATATACTTAATAAATATCTATTTTTATAACTAGATATTTTATATACAAAAAACTTTTTTACAAATTTTTTATATAGAAAATATAAGATTTTTATGTGAAAATACATTTTTTTTTGTATAAATATGATTTTACAAAGAAAAAGCATATTAGAAACAATTCATTGAGAAAAAAAAGTTGTAAAAAAACTAAAGTTAGGATAAATTCATAATAAAATTCTAAAATTTGGGCAAAAAGGGTAAAGTTTGGACCAAATTTGTAAAAAAATTTAAAATCTGGGCCAAAAGTGTAAATTTTTGACCAAATTTGTATTAAATTTTAAAATCTGGATCAAAAATGTAATTTTTGAAAGTTGGATGACCTGTTGACTGGGTCAAATGGTTAAATTGAATACGATTACCAGTATTTGAGACTTAATTGAATAAAAAAAAATATAGGGAGTAAATCGATTATGACGCCAATATGTAGAGACTTTATTGCAGTTTTTCTTTAAATAAAAAATATTATAAACAAACAAGTAAACAATTTTATTCATCGGTATCCACAATCATGACAACAAGGACCATCGGTTCTTATATAACAACATTCTCAACTCGAGAAATAACATCATCAAGTTTTAATTTATGAGGTTTCTTAAAATCATTAAATTCTATGTTTTCAACATCCGGTTTCTTAAAATTATTGCGCTCTGAAGTGGCAAGGAATTCACCCCAATTATAATTCTCATACTTGGCAGGGTTTCTTTCATCAATCAGCTCTGCAAGTGGCTCCACCACCGTGTAACTTGCAGGGTTGAAGAAAATCGGGATCGAAAATCTTTCTCTTGTGGAATTCACCTTCGCCCTATGCTCCGCACCTTCGTACTTTCCATTGCTCCATACCTATATCAACAACACTAATAATAAGTCCTTCATTCCAAATCAATAATTCAAGCAAAAACAGACCTATAAAGAAACGACACATACAGTCATAATGTCCCCAACATTTACAATAAAGGAATTAGGTGTTGGCTTTACGAAGATCCATTCTCCATCGCTTTTTCGCTTAACTTCCAAACCTCCTACATCATCCTGAGCTAAGATCGTCAAAGCACCGACGTCCTTATGTCGACCAACACCCAGAGCTAGATCAGGAGCTGGGCATGGCGGGTAGTGGTTGATTCGAGCCAAACTGGTTTGATCCTTGGAGAAGAAGGCCTCTAACCGGTTTGAAGGGAGGTTTAAGCTGAGTGAGATCAATTCCAACAATTTGTAAAACAATTTAAGAACTTCTTTAACATATTCTTCAGATGCTTCCCTGAGTTTTCACGAAACGGTTAAACATACTCATCTTGTTAGTAAACATATAGTATGATATATCTTTAGACGTCAAAAATTAAATACCTCAATTCTTCAGGATGATGAGGCCATTGATTAGGATACTTTATGGCATGTTCATCGTTAGATTCATACGAAGAAGCCGGCATCAACGTGGGGGCCTCCACTTTGAAATCGAAAACTTCCTTCCAGTCCCTCACATTTTTTGTCCGCTCCGTATCATAATAACCAAATGGATTCTCTTCGTCTCTCCTCACCTTCTTCTTCTCCTCCACTGGCTGATCAAAGAACCTCTTTGCTGCCGACTCCATCTTTTCACGCACCTCAACGGGAACACCATGGTTGTTTACTTGGAAGAATCCCCAGTTTTTGCACGCGTCATGGACCTGATTCACCAGATCTTCTATCGCACTAGCAGCAGTAGATGAGTTTATGATAGGGGAGAGGTCAATTTGCGGGATTCCTTGGGCTTCAAGTGCTGCAAGTTTAGGTCTGTGTTCAAGCTCCTGGATGAAGGCTGGATCAACTTCCCCCATGGCCGATGAATATATGATGAATTATGAGATTCTATGAATGATGTGTGTATTTAAAAGGTGGTGGTGGCGATGCTTTTTGTTATGAATCTGGACTCCTTTCTGGGCATGATACATGACTGACAATCGCGACTACTCACTTAAAATATATGTAAAATATCCTTGTTTTTTTTTTTTTTTTTTGGTTTACGTAAACAAGTAACCTTTAAGTTCAGAGATTTAAGTAATCGGAACTAGGGCTGAACCCGAACCGGACGCTCAAGTTTGGCCTGTTTAGTTTTTTTAATTTGGGGGCTCAAGCTCGACTCGTTTGGAACCTTATTGTACGGAGCTAGAGATCGGCTCACAAAAAATTATACGGGTTGGGGCTCAGCTTGGGCTTGGGAGTCGTATATGGTATATCTTAATTCCATATGATAGTAATACACACTCGAGTTCAAGTTTATTTAATAAACAAGTCTAATATTAATATTGAGTTCAGCTAAGGCTCGTTTAAAATCAATCTCGATTCGAGCTTTTAACGAATCGATACCCAGTGGCGGTTTTAGGCAGGTCCCGATGTTGCACCGGCAAATCCTACTTTTTCTGTCTGCAGTGGAAAAAATTTCAATTTTTTTTTTACTTATTTTTGATGTATCGGCAACACCTATTTGATCTCGGCAACGCCTACTATGTATTCTTGCGCCCGTCCCTATGAATCCCAAATAGTTTGACTCGACCCGAATTTTTTCTGAAATGTATTGTAATATATAAATATCGAAAATCATTTAATTAGATAAAAATATTAATTAAAGTGTTGTAAAGATAACATATTTAACACATTTATTGTTTCAAAACACAGAAATAAAAGATGAAAAGTGATCATTTTTGTGTGTGTGGGGTGGGGTATCATAAGCCATCTCTAATTCTTTATGTTTAATTTGACTCCTTTTCCAACTTAATTGATTCACTCACTACCATAGATTGTTAGATGATTGTTGTGTATTATTGTTGGGTACAAAGTTATCCATGTATGACTTTGTAAATGGTTTGACTATTGTAGACCCACTTGCATGTGGTAAAGTAGCCTTGTGACATGAGAGATATATAGAGAGAGGGACATGTAAACACCTTTATATAAGGTGGGTTCATACCACTTATAGATGTGTGCTTGAGAGATGTAACATTGAGAGTGTTAGTGTGTGTTAATTATGTAGATTTAAATCTAGATCATTTTTTGTAAACACCTTTCATAATCGAATGCATATCTTAAACACTCAAATCACCGTGTTCTTTGTGTGTTCTTTAATTCCGCATGTCAAATCAATGCTCATAATTCACATAAATTATTCTTACCTTTTATTATAACATTCATTTTTTATTTTTTGTAGTCATCCTCTTGATAATAAAATATTTACCATATAATAAAAGAGGAAGCCACCATAAGTTCTCTTTTCCATGTTTCATGGGTTATTATTCCCGCTCATTTCATTCATATCAAATGTTTACCCTTTTACACTTTTCTTTTACTAATTCGCAAATCAGGAATATGTTAACGCTATTACTTATTCGCAACTCAGGAATATGTTAATGCTGTTAAATCTTCTACCCAATAAAAGAATGCTTTTCTAAAACACGTGTCAACTTCTCAACAATTCTTTTCCATGTGTCAGCTTCTCTGCAACTTTTTCCCGCCCATTTTATTCCGCGAGGTCCGCTATCTCATCTGCAATTACATTTTATTAAATTTGAAATCCAATTTGTTCTGTAGTCCATAACGTAATCCCTAATTTTTTGGGATTCATTTAGGAAATAATTCATTGTAGTCGATGTATTAGGCAATATTGAGCAAGTTAATATCTTCGATAGTGAATTTTGAAATTCAAAACTTGAAATGTGATTCCATCTTCTCCATATTTGTCTCTCAAAAAATTTAGGGCAAACCCTTAAAATATTGTCAATGAAGATTGAAGAAGAATAATGAAGACTTAGGGCAAATGAATTCCCAATGATCCTTCTTCTGGGAAGAGAAAGGCGACGGAGAAGACAACTTTGGTTAACTACAACATTAAGACCCTATAGCGACGACAAATTCGGACCCTATCCAGACAACATGTCGTCGGTATAGGGTTAACTACAACATTAAGACCCTATGGCGACGACAAATTCGGAACCTAAGAATCAACTATCACTCATTCCTAAGGATTCATCCTAAGAAATAGGCACGAAGTCCATCGATGCCCAAGGTTTATACTACAAGCACTAACAACGTCGATCCCCACATACTGATCCTATACAATGATCTTACTA